ACACACACACACACACACGTTGACACCACACATCCGCACACACTCCATGTGAGACAAGCAGGACAGCAGGACTTCTGCTGTCACTCTCGAACACTTTGCTGTTTTCAAGAGTTAATTATACTGCGCTCACACTCTTCTCTCACACCAACTTAAACCCGGAGTAATTAACAACACCTTTTCTATTCTCGTCAAAGTATCTGATGGCTGCCACCCGAGCTTGCGATCGCAGAGCAATACATTTTGCTACTGTTGCTTTTCTTACTTTGCTGATCTACAGGCTGTGCTTAAATACCAGCACTGAAAAGCAGTGTCGCCAGGTGATGACGTATTTAGCACATTAACGCTGTCGTATCGTAATAATTGTCCTGTTTCGAGTTTGCAGGAAACAAGACGCAGACCAAATGGCAGATATAGAGGATGTTGGACTCAACAACAAGTAAAAAGGCTTACATCTAAAGTTGGCATATAAACAAAAGAAATCCAAACTGGTACTAGAATTAACACCCCACATTCATTTCTCAAGACTCACGTAAGGTCACTGTGACCTTTAACTTTTGACCACACCTAATCAATTATTCTCTGAGTCCAAGTTACAACTGGTCAAAATATAATAGAATAAATTCCCTCAGAGCAGACGATTTACATTCATATATTGTTTATCCAACATTTTTAAAAATAAAGTCACAAAAATGAAGTCAAACTGGACAATGCACATTCTAAATAAACTTTTTTTTTTTTCCCTTTAGGGACTGAATAAACTTGAAGAGGCCTTTGTAAGTTTTTGTGTTTTCAAAGCGAGAAGTTTCCCAAGTCGATAACTCACAGAACTTCCATAAAACTAAATGGAAAGAAATTCAGAGAACAAAAGCCTTGAGTGAATGGTGAAGAGAAAACAGAGCGACAGTCGCAAGTATGTCCCAAACATAAAGTGTATGTAAATATCTACAACACGACTGCTACCTAAAAGTGAAGAAACAACACATAACGTTCTAGAGGAGCCGGTTTTCATTTTGCCTTCAAACTTCTGCTTAAGTAGATGTGTTGTGCCATAAACAAGACAATTGTGCGATGGCCTGCATCTCTGACTCAAATCATCATCTCAACTTTAATCTACCCATCAGCTGCACAGACATCAGGCGTGAACGACCTCGGCATCATCCGCTCCCTCCGTCACGTTCATCCCTTCATGATTAAAAGGTGAATCAAAGAAGGAATGATGCAGGATGGGGGCATCCATCCATCCTCACTATCGTCTGACTCCTAGAAGCTTTTTACTCTCTTCAGTGATCATGCAGCTCACCTCTCATTTCAATACAGGGCTGAGTGCACACTGCAATCTGGTCCTTGTAATGAAAACATACATTCCAGCTCCTCTTCCTGAAAGGGGGCCCCTATTAGAAGACTCAGTCTCATTGATTGAAATGCTTTTAAATGTGCACGTGTCCATTAATGCAGGAGGGGAAGCTTTTGAGAGGCACAACAGCACGAGACAATGGTTATATACATAAGTCCTTCAATGTGAAAGTAGCAGCGAGTTCCCAATTAAAATGTGAGGAATATTTTTTCTTAAACCACGCAGCCAATAAATATATTCCAGCTCCGAATGAATTAACTCCAAACCAACCCAACAGGCCTCATGATATTCATCAGTAATGCTAAAATGTTATTTTCCAACGGAGGGATGTTTAATTAGAAAACCTGACTGCTCTCACACCTTGAAACAAACTCCATTTGATAAACATCGAGTAGCTTACGGATGCATCCTGAAACAAGGACAAAGGGTTAAAGCACTGACTTGAATCAGTAATGGCTTTTTACAAAACCAAACAAAATCTAATTCATTGGGTTTATAAAGAGCAAAGGGACACTGGGAGTCTTCTGTCCTGTGGTTAAGATCTGTGATAATATATATACTCGTGGTGACCCCACCACCCCCCCTCACACGGCCCCCTGCTTTAATGAAGGGAGGGGAATTGATTCAACATGCTTCAGCCCCGTTAAACCATTAAGAATCCGTCTCTCACATCTCGTCGGAAGCTTCCACGTGAAGTTAAGATCTCAACTTTTTTTTTTTCTTTCCTGAATGACGCACTGCTATCAAATGCATCTAACGCTGTCTCCCTGTGGGAGCAAAGCAAATACAGTAAATGGTGTCCGCTGCAAACCTGCTAGATTTAATCTTGCCTGCTCCTTACGGAGTTTGCCTTCGTATTCCTCTTGTTCCTTTCTCCTGAGGTTATCGCTGTTGTCTAGGGTGGGGGTGGGGGGAGCTGTGCGTTTGATCTGACCCCTCAAATTCAATTACGGCCCAATCAGATCCCGGTGAGATTGACCTCTGAGCTAGTAAAAGTGGTCTTGTCTCGTTTGGAAAATAGAGGCACAGATCCAGTTATGTGTTCAGAGAGAAGTCCTAGAGGACTTGAAGGGGGGGGGGTGTTTTAGATGATTATCTAATCGGAGGGTAAGGAGGGGAGATAAAGAGTCGAACGTGAGAGAGAGAGAGGCAGACAAGCAGACACGAGAGAACTGACAAATCAGAAATCTCCCAATCGCCTTGTTTGCCCTCCTGTATTTAAACATACCATTGACGTTTCAATCCAGATCCACAAACAGCTCATGTAGCCGCTCCTGATGACGTGCGGGAGCAAGTAGCGCATCCTCCTCGGTTTAATCTCCCTAAGTGGAAAGAGAATAAAGTGTATATTAACTCTCGAAGTGCTGCGGGGTGCAGACGGATCAATTTTGTTATTTGTGTGGAGAGTTCTGTCAGAAAAAGAAAGCTGCCCTGCTCCCAGTGGCCCCTGACATGACACGATCGACGAGGAAGTCTACAAATGGATGATCACTCTCTGATGCCAAATCGTCCGTTAGTTAACGTGATGCCTACAAATAAGTTTCCTGATTTTGAATCGTGAGGCTTCAGGGACTAAACATTTTGACAGTAAGCTGTTTTGTGCACAGTTCACTTGACTGGCAACAGTCGACCATGAATTATTCAAAAAAACCATTCCAAATATCACCCAATATCATCCCAGCAAACAGTGGATGGAGATATTCATATCTTTCGTTTGACTCCTGACCTTTTCACAGGCCTGTTTCTCATTCATTCCCTTCGCATCAGTATAAACCAATAAAATCTGACGGACAAAGCCTTGATCAAATAGCAGCACCGGGGAGGCATCAAGAGAAGGGAAACTGCAGATGAGACTGTCTTGAAGTGGCAAACACTTGGCAAGTAAAAATAGCTGTAATAGCCGGAGGTACGTTGACTGTCTGAAACTCCCCCGAACTGATTTTAGGTACGGCGGCAAGTGTGGGTGTGAAAATGGCCCTGAGAGTCGTTAAGCTGCTTTAAGAGAGGCAGCTGAGAGGATGCAGAGGTAAAATAAGATAAAACAGCATGAAACCTCAACCACACACTCTCACCTATTACCACAGTTCAGGGGATCTAAATGCTTTTATTGTGACATTCAACTAGAATACAAATTTGCTTTAATGGACTCAAGCTAAATACTTAAACAGCAAATGACAACACAGCAGAGGGAGACAGCACTTGAACCTGAAGTGATGATCGCCATAATTACATGAATGATACATGAACATGTGACGTACTATGGAAAAGTGCAATAAACGTTTCTAAATATAATCTCCTGGTTTTTGTTTTTCAATGTACCCCCTAAATATGCATACCCAGAATGCTTCACAGGTTCTCATTAACATAACGAGTAAAGCACCGTGCTCCCTCCAGTGCAGAATGGATGACACCTTTCTGCTAATTAATTGGTCCTGTTGTGCGGACCATCTTGAACCCCCCCGTGGCATTTTTCAAGTATTTGTTTTCCAGTCCACTTGATTTTTCAAAGCTAAAGTGATGATATTCAATTACACAAATGACCAGGTTGGATGCTAATGGATTATTCCTCTGCAAAAACATACCCTGAATTACTGCCCTGAGGTTTTGTGCCGCCGCCAAACCACTGCATTTTCTTTCTACATTATTTTTTCCCCCCAGACTGTGATGAAGTCACTTTGACCCCTGAAATCAAATCAGTAATTTTTTTTATCTAATTAAAAATTGGTCAAAAAATTTTGAAGCCACTCTGACATTGACTTTAAAAATTTTAAACATTCACTTGTGAATCTATGTGAATATTTCCTTTGAGGTGTTTTTAAGATAACTTGTTAACCCTGTTTGTAAGGTCATGTGACCTTGGCCTCTGAGTCCAAGTAAAAGTTTGTATAAAATTTAACAGGCGTTCTTGAGGTATCTTAATCAGGAGAATGGGACAGACTGACGGACGACCCAAAAACATTATGCCTCCAGCTACTGGCTTTCGTCTGAAGCGAGACATGAAAAAAAAATAGGATATTGATAATAAATCAGGACCGTCAAAGAGCACATTAGTGGGTTATGTTGCAGTGTAGTTGCACTTTTATTCCTTCCATGCAGAATTTTAATCTTTTTTTTAGGTTTCTTTTGTAGTCTAGAAACCACCTTGGGAGCACCAGCATTGTGTGGCTGGAAGCACGGAGCTCTGCCAGGCCTGAGTTCCTCACAGGAGGTGAGGGTGTGTGAGGGCTTGCATGATGAGAGCAGCTGGAACCTGCACATTTTCCCTCAACCCATCATAATCATAATCCTTTTGCACTGTGCCGCAGCATGTTCGGTATGTGTGTGTTTGTGTGTGAGTCAGTGAGTAAGCAAGGGAGGGAGTGAGTGAACGAAAGAGTGAGTGATGGAGTGAAAGAGAGAATAAACTGAAGCACTTGTTGGCGGCTGCGTCAATCAGAGTCTCAAAATGTTACCGTAAGTCAACCGTGAACCAAATTTGCAGCAGCCACACGACCCGACAATAATCCCACGACGCCACGGACCAAGTTCAAAATGGGAGCTCGCTGCAAAATACTCATCACGCAGGATTGAGCCAGGGCTACTTAGCCATCCCATTTCCCACCATTAGAAACGAGAATAATTCTTGCGAATTCTTGTCTCCAAACAAAGAGTGTGAGGGAGAGAAGGACATTCATTCTCAAGTTTGGACCTTGCGCCCATTCTTTTATTACCTCCTCACTCAGGCCCTTTTATAGGAGCCAGGGGATGCAGGATGAAAATAATTAGTTCTAAAATTATTGGGGAATTTGAATGTAATTAGGTGAAGAAAATACACCACCGGCCTCTGCTAAAGGCCGCCTCACTGCAGCACCACTGCTAATGTACGTGACCAAGACTGTGAGATTTAAAAAGAAAGTAATGACACAGCCTTGGAAAAAGATCAACGAGAATCTCTGATATGTGCCACATTTTTTTACCCTAAATGCTTTGCACTATTACAAGTCCAAACATTTTTAAACCAGCTGCATGTGGGAAATGAACCCCTCACTCTGGAGCTGGCAGATATGATAAACATCAGTCCTGCAGTCCAGACATGTTTTGCAGGTTGGACACATGGGTAATTTCCCCTGATAGCAGGCTATGAACACTGTAAATAGATGGAAAAGGAAGTTTTTAGGTAACAGACGACAGGGTTGCATCAACAGGTATTCGTTTTAAATTTGCATTAGGAAACGTGCACTGAGAGAACATCTACCTATTTGTAGGAGATCTTGACTTTCACTCCGACCAGATGTGTGAGTTTGATCTATAATTTAAATCTTTTCATGGGGGAGAGCGTTTGAGGGAGATTTATTAATTATTAATCAAGATCTCATGAAATTTAGTGAAACAAGTCTTTGAAACAGATTATGTGAAAACTGCAGTTTTACTACCATTATCATGTCTGTCCGTTAAATACACGTTGGTTTTGATAAGCCAGTTCACTTAGCTTAGCACATCGCCTGAAAGAAGCTAGCCTGGTGTATCTGGGTCAGGGATCTCTTTTAAATCCCTTCTTCAAACATATTCTATCTGTGAAACTGTGCAGATTTTACTTCTATTTCATTGAATTTATTTTAAAAATTAATTTAAAAGAATCTTAATCTTTTAGAGTTCTTTTAAATGAATATTGTCTTTTAATATTTCTGATTCCTTCATTTTTGCTCATGATTTTAGGACCTGTATGTTTTATTTTGCTGCCCTCGTAAAGCACTTTGTAAATTCGATTTTGAAAAGTGCTCTATAAATAAAGTTACTATTGTTATTATCATCTGAAGGCGATGACCTCATCAGAAAAGCAGCAGTGATCTATTTGGGTGCAGAAAGGTGCAACATGCCCAACAGTTATAATCTGACATACAGAAATGCATTGTGGATCGTTAATGAAAAAAAGGGAGGCACCATGCGATAAAGCGTAATAGTAGATATCCGGTCTGCTGCCACCTACTGAGTATTGCACCAAAAATCCACAAATCCTGAATAAAAATCTATCATAGGTAATAATGATTATCATGCTTTCAATAAGGTAAAAGACATTAACAAAATAATGTGACCACATCTATTTTTCTTGCATCACACTAGCTCCATTTACTCTCAGGCTCAGCACTGCCAAGAGGACTTGCAATTGGCACAGATTTACATCCATGTTAAAGTTCACCAAAGTTGAACTCTCTGCACTGATTTATTTCGCCTCCTTGTGGGTCCGCTGATCTCAGCAAATCCATTGGAATTAATTCACTTTGCTGCAAAATCTTGCCATCATAAATCCTGGTGTGCCCAGGCCTTCTGTTTCGCTCACAGCAACAGCCTTCTTGCTATGACTCAGACCTTAACCCGGTTCATTTCATCAGGAATGAACTTCGCTGTTGTGGTGCACACCCATCTGCTGTCATGCCATCTAGTTTTAGACTATTATTTGTCGGCTACTGTGGCGTACATTGAGCCACACAGGTGACATCTGAACACAGCAGTGTTGTCTGATAATGTTAGAACTATGTTGCAGGATCTCATCTGTGAAATCATAGAGCTTGCATGTAAAATTCCCATTGCTTTCCCTATCTCATAACAACATTCATTACCAACCTTGGGCCATTCCAGAATCAGCGGGTCAGCACGGAACTGCTTTATATCCCTCTGAGAAAAGGGCTCTACCTCGTAAAAGCTTTATGCTGTAGCGCTGGCAGACATTTGGCATTTACATTTATCACCAACTTGGGTTAATTAAACTCGACCCATCCACCATCTTGATTACACAATGGTAAATAAAGACACAATATTTCTCTACGGTGGTGTCACGGAGGAGGGCGTGAAGAAGAACACGGAGAGGCCTGAACTGCACACCAACACGTATGTGTGTTCAGGCCACACAAGTGTCAGGGACGTCCTAGAAGCTCAGCAAACAGATGATAGAGACGTCTCAGAGAGGCAGCGAGACTGAGGATGACAAACTATAAGCAAAGTCATTAGTTTAGCAATTAGATTGCTTGTCTCGTGCACTTCATGTCACATATTCAATACCCAGGTCCCAGCCAGGTTGTGCATAGGCACAGGACAAAATGAAATATGTGTTTGTCTCACTGGACTTTACTTTCTTTGCATGAAGCAGCGTTTTTTAAATTATCCTAATTTCCTAGTCAATCCTCTTAACAGCCCATGAGCAAGTGAAGTGCAGGTAAACAAACCCTCCCTCGCCCCTCATCCCTCACGGTGCCTTTGTGCAAATGCTCGGCCTTTAAAATTGATCTTAATGACTCATGGCTTGTGCTGGGGTTGTTTGTATGAATGTGGGAGTTATGGTAATTGCTTGGTCATTAGAATGCTCAAGATTGTTTCATGCGATTTCTCTTTGTGCTAATTCGTAGAGTAATCACTTGCAACCCAGCCCAGAATGAGCTCATCACTTGAATTGGATTTTAGAGCTCTGCGGACAGGTAGTTATCATTGTTGCCTTGATTCCATTAAGTCTAATCAAGTTTGTTTTAGTCCAGTAGGGGGTAAAGCCCCGAAAACAACTTCAGTGACGGGCTTCATAAGCTAACCAGATGCTTACGGCTACAATGCTTGCAAACGATTGCCATTTGACAAGTTTTAGCACCTCACTGGTATATTTTTCCAGATAAACCCGAGAATAACAAAAACAGAATTAACCTGATCGATATGAGCTAAGCCAAAGCAAAGCAAATCGGTAGAGACCAACAAAATAAAGCTTATTTATGAGAAGATAAAGATCCATGAGTTATAATAAGATCAAGATTTATTGCTTTTGTCAATCAACCATAATCTTACAGTACGTTAAACGGGTCATAGTTTATAATAACATTGATAGATTTGTCATCACATTTTTAATGAGATTCATAAATACGATGGATATATAGAGGTCTGTACTTACTGAGATCAAGGGCCTTCCTTTAGAGTGTTTTAAAGAAATACGAGAGCAGTAAATATGTAATCATCTCGTGTAAATTATCAGAGAATTAACAAATAGTGTTTGAATTTATAGGCAACCTGTTGAAGCACATGCATAAATAAAGTGAGCAGTGAAATCTCTACCATGACGGGCATACAGTACACGACGTGGTGCGTGACATAACAGTCGACAAAGTCTTGGCTCACCAAGGCAGTGAAATCGACTCAGTGCTATTTGTGCTCCCTGCCACTTGTCGTTCTTTCACTTTCATTTACTCGCCTCGCCGTTTTATTTTTTATTTTTTATTCCCCCCTAACAACAAGCACAAAACATTGTCACTGGACCATCACTGACTCGGCTCAAATGACTTCTGAAATTGCTTTGTTTCCCCTTCCTCGCACACACATGTCACAGATGTTGTTTGGGTGAGAGTGGCTGCGTTCCAAAAATCAAGCGTGACGTGCCATTAGCAATTGAGCTGACTGCGCGCAGTTTGGTCTTTCTTCCATTATTCATTTTTGTTGGAGGGCGCAGAGTAACTGAGACGCTGCAGTGTTTTGTTGTAGCAGGATGCATTCCCCCTATTATAAACCTGGACCGAGCATAATGTGCAGTAGCGATGAGTCATCTTTAGCTAGTGTTGTTGGACTGGATGCAAACAAAACAAGCCTTTATGCCTTATTATACATTTATAGGATGTTCCTATTTGTATTTTTTGTGAGTATTCACAAAAATCCAGAAAAACTGTTAAACAGGAAACATGTTTATGAAATATGTTTGATTTGGATTATAGGCACCAATCTTAACGATCGCATTCATTAGATAATTTCAGTGGTCACCTGCGAGATGGCAGATTAATTTCCTGAAGTAAATGCAGGTCCGTCATGTTGTTTGCAGGAGATTTGGCGAATTTAAGAGTCTGCGGTCTCTCTTCCCCCCAAGTTGCTCTGAGGTCAACGTCAGAATAACTAACGTGACGTCTCCCCTCTGCCACGATACATTACCCCTCACATTGTTCTCCCCGACTTGACTCACAGGGCAGGCATTGCTTTCAATTACACCCTCAACTTTTCTTTTTAATTAAACCTACAGGCAGATTAATTACAGGACAACTTAAATGATGAAAAAATTAGAGGTGTCCTGAAACATTGTGTTTGGCGTGAATCTGCCAGCCTCCTCTCTGCACCCCCCCCCCCCCCCCAGCCCCTTAAGCTGTCACCTCCGCTGTTCAATAAGCAATCTGGTAGGGATGCGTACAAACCAGTGGAGTCGTGCGAGGCCGTTTGTTTCTGTTTGCCAGACAGATTCGATTCTTTGAGAGACACGGCCCAAATAACCAGACACCACCGGCTGGAGGCTGGGTAAAAACTAATTAAGGTGGTGTTAAAAGGCAAACTCAATGAGGCACAGCAAAGACAGCCAGATTCTCACCTCTTGACTTAAGCTCTGCAGGCCAACAGTGGGAGGTGCTTCGTACTTGGATTGGAGGAACCTTGCTCCCACATGACCTGTATCGAAACAAGCACAAAAGGTTGTTCGTTCGAGAATGGAAAGATAAGAGGATTCTGGAATCCAGTGAGCAACACATACATTCTTTAAATCATATAGTGGTTTAACACACAAATTGTAACTTCAGCCACGAGATGTCTTTAAAAAAAAGGAATCGTATATAAAATCTGATGATTTCTCTGGGTTGGAACTTTGTCAGACACTTTTGGATAATGTAACTACACAAAACAACAAAACACATTAACTTGATTCGTATCTTTGAATAGAAATTATGTTTCATTCAGTTGCTGACTGGGCACAAAGACATCATGGATTTTTGTTTCAGGCGCTCAGATGTCAGCGTGTGACCAAAGTAGACAGATATCCATCACACCATCCAGAATTATTGTGACAGAGCTGCTCTATATCCGGCAGATACCAGAGGGCCTATAAAAAGGGAGAACAACGGATACGTGGGTATCAAATGATGACATCAGGGAGCGTCTGAGTGACACAAACATGTTATGAGAGATGAGTAACATCTGGTGCAAGGGATCTTATCCTCTGGTTGCCGGTCGTTACTTTGAGTTCCAATGCAGAACCACTATTTATTCTCTAATCTTGGCCCTAATTCCCATGTATCCCTGGTTTAATGGACTCTTTAGAGTATTAACATTTTTTACTTTCCCTGCTCTTTTCTGGTTTACTTAAGTGTTTCTCCTTTACACAGTTTGCAGTGTCTATACAATGTGTAAATACCTAAAATCAGAGCAAATACTTTCTAATTGTTTGCCTTCTTTAAGAAGCATTAAGAGGGATTTTCTTGTTGGAATTTGTGGCATTAATTCTGAATGATCAGAACACAAAGAACAATCGAAAGACTTAAATGAGATTTTAGCATTATTGCTCTTTAATGGTGTTACTTTGATGCTTCCGTGCTGCTGAGGACTGTTTGTTATTCTGCAGGATGTCTCAAAGGATTTATAAAGTGCATTATTTTGCTCCCTTTCAAAACTGCTGGAATGTGAGGGAGAAAGGCAGCGAGCGATACAAGGGGTTAGGGACGTGGTCGAAACTGCCTCCGACAAAATGAGCGCGGCCCCTGAACTAAACCCAGGGGATTGAAAGTGGATTGAATGAGTCTCACCACATATAGACAGCCGCTGGCACCACAGGGACAGTGATCGGAAGAGAGGGAGAGGGAACTCGAAGTGAGTCAACGAGTGGGATGAGGATAAAGAAAAGAAGGGCAGGGGGAAAGAGAGAAAAAGAGCAGTGGTGTGTTACCAGCTGACCACTGAAGCTTCCCCCTCCCCGAACACCTCCATTACGCCATTACTGAAACAGAGGGTCCTGTTTTTACCCAACCATACAACTTTCTGGTACACTGCCAGTCCTGCTGGCTGCCCCCGCTGCGTGTCCCACCACCGTGCTGCACCACCTAAATCAGGAAACGGATGCAATCAGAGGAGCCAGACTAATTCCTGGATGGCAAGAGCCAAAGGGGCAGTGGGTTCCTAGGGGTTAAAATGGCTTAATCTTTTTATCCTGTGCTAGCGAGGACTATTCACAGATTTGATACACTCACTCTAAATCCTTAAGTGGCATGCAATGGCAAGGCTGTGGGGGGGGATTCCACACAAACAGATGAATCCTGGCAGCCGGCTGAGGATGATGGAGCCATAAAACATAAAATACACGGTATTAGGATTAAAAAGCACGTCGTAACATTTTCTTTCTGTAGCACAAAGTCTATATGTTTGTGTCAAAATGATGTCACGTATTGCGATTAATTGGTGAAAAGTAACGGTGTTGAAATCAGCAATCCAAACAAATCTGTTATCACATTGAAAACATCACATGGAGGCTTCTCCTCCCTGCAAGCATCTATATTCCTTCCTCCTCTCTGCTCTTTCTCTGTACTTCCTAGCATACTCACGCACATCCCCAGCATCCCCACTTCCCTAATGAGGCGTGATCACTGTATTAAACTGCTAATTAAAATCAGATATTAAAGCCTACTACCCATAATCCCTCTTGGCTTGCGCTACAAACACCAGGCTGGCTGTCGCCTGGTATTATGCTCCGGCGGATCCCAGGCAGCGGGGGCAACAAGTTGCTCGCCTCACCTTCACAGTGCAGCCAGTGCATCAATCAGCCGCTAATCTTTAAACTTGGTGATCATGGTAGCAACACCAACTTTTTCCACCACCCCCTTCTCTATGTCTCGCAGTGACCCAGTTGCAGCCGCATGTAAGGTGTGAACGAGGATGTGCATAAACAAACAGATTACAGACAGCATGCTTGAGGCATATGGTGGGTGTCGGCATTGTACATATTTGAACAGAGAGGCTCTAATTTGAACAAAATGAGGGCGACATGTCAATGAATACACTGATTGTATCTGTGAGGGATCAGGCTTTCACAGAACATCTGGTGGGCCATTATGCAGCATACACTAATCATCAGCCATGCAATATTGATGAGCCATTGATCTCCGACAGTCATTGGATTTTACATTATGAAATGTACTCTCATGTTAAGAAGAATGAAGAAACAACTTCCTGCTTTTGTTGGAGACCGAAAGACCAGATGCAAATATTTTTTTGTGCGTTTGAATCACGTTTGCACGTAATGTTTGTGCGATGTGTCACAGCCACCCCCCCCCTCATGTATCTAACCTTTTCTTTGAAGTTTTCTGCAAAACCCTGAACCTGGCTCTCACCCATTTGAGTTCGGAAAGTCAAGAGAGGTTTTCTTTTAGATTTTTGGATTCTAAAATCGTCTTTTTATCATATTTCTAATATATAACATCAACCTGAAGACCTGGTTATGAGCTGGTTAGTAACAGTTTGTCTGTAGTTTTTGATTTTCCTCTTAAATCCTTCACATCTCCCCCCTCCCAAAAAAAGTTTTCTCCCCACCCATTTCCAATTAATATTCTTTGTTGTTGAACGGTCAGGACCTCAGTGATCTCCCGTCTCCTCTGCTCAGGTCGGTGTGGCGCTGAGGGCATGGCTCCAAACAAACTCAGGTCTCCACGGTGGAGAGTCGGGCTGAACTCTGTACCTTACTCTGCTACCTCATTAGCCTGTATACACAGCGGCATCTGTTCCATCACGAACCCTAATATGACCGCATGAAGCAGGAAAATAACAGCTCTCCTTGGACCAGGTGGGATTAGATGGGCGATGACCGGAGTTCACTGACCGCGCGCCTGCACTGTTCGGCTTTCATGCATTTGGAGAAGAAATAACCCTATTTAATGGAAAGGAATAACCAAATAAACCTTTTCAGATGGGATGCGGTCGTAGTCTGTTGGTTTGGTTGGTGGCTCAAAGAGAGCTGACGAAATAAAAAGAGAGGAAAGGAAGGAGAGGGAATCGACAGGCAGAATGAGTGGGGTCATTGAGCACAATGGGAGCGCAGGGCCCCGCTCAGCTGGAGGGACTCTGGTGAGGACGAAGCTACCTATCTTATGGTGACAAGCGGCAAATGGGGGCCCATTACCGTGCGGAATGCTAATGCCAAACTTTAGGCCCCAGGGAATGGCCCCGTTCACCCCCCCCCAAAACACAGGGAGAGGAGACCTGCCAGGGTGACATGCATGACAGCCTCCATTCACACACACAAGTGCAAGAGATAATAACTGTATGAATCACAAGGGACTTTTACACTCTTTCTTTCCCACTCCTTCGCTACTCTCAATCTGTGTCTTGACTGCTTCTAACACTCGCTGTTCCTAATTGTCCCCATGTCTATTTTTTCCTGCTTCCCCTCCCACTCTCATTCTTTATTGTCTATTAACAAATCCCCACCCCCCCCCACACACACACACACACACACACACACACACACACACACACA